GGGAGTGGTGCTCTTGAGCATGTTTCTAATTCCATTGTGGAAGCTTTTCTCAGTGATAGTGTAAAAAGGTTTAATGCAAATGCTGTCATGAGCATCAATCATGATCTAAAGGCATTGGAGTCGTTTGCAGATGATAGGTTTCAGAGTACTGGATTGCTTGCAATATACAAAGACGGTAGTTTTCGAGATTGCTTGATAGAAGCCAGACAATTGATAAACCTTCTCTTGAGCAGTCAACCTGAAAATTTTATGAATCCTGTAATAAGACAGAGGAACTACAATGCTTTGGACTACAAAAAGGTGGCTACTATATGTGATAAATTCAAGGATTCGCCAGATAGACTTTTTGGTAGCCTTTCAAATAGAAACTCAAAGCAAAGTGCCCAAAAGAAGTCCATGGACACACTAAAGAAACGACTGAAGGATTTCAACTGACAGAGCTTGAGTATTTTTTGAATTAGAAATAGCTGAAATTACTATTATTCCACTGTTATCGATTTTATATGTTCTTCTTCTTCTTCTTCTTTATTTTTATTTATTTATTTATTTATTTTATTTTTTTTGGTTGATGATTGAAATTTTTTCTCCTTAAAACAGAATTTGACAGGGATTTTTTTCTTGTTAAATCTTTCTCTTACTAAATTGGAATAATTTTTTATCTCCTCTGGAGTGCTTGTAGGTATTCCCTAGAGCCTTGTATAGCAGTAATTGGATGTGGTTTGATCCTTGTCTGTTTCCATGTCCACATTGCATATATGTATTTCTAACTATCTTGCAGAACATACTGTTCGAGTATGTGCCGAATGTTTGCTCAGAAGATTTTGACAAGAAAATCTGCATTTTTGTTGTTTGCTGTATGTTATAATCAGGTATGGAATTCTTGAAATATAGTACAAAGCCAGTTCTAGAGTTTCGGGTAACTTTAACTGATCAAATGAAAATTTTTCTGCATCTTTTCATAGTTTCGGATTTGGGTTATTTATATTGCTTTCATTACCTTGTCCTGCGTCAGTTCGAGTTCTCTTTGATGTTGCAAGAGCCAAGTTCTTTCATTGTTAAGCAACTGTACCAGATTTTTGGAAACTTCACAGTTGGTACACAATGTAACAATGTTCAGGCAAGGTGAGCTTAGGTCCGTGTCTGGTGCCATTTATAGGGGATTTCTACTACTTCAATGTCATGTTTAAAGAGGATTAAATAGCAGTAATAAGCTAAATTTTTTTGTTTATTTAGACATGTTGAATATTTCTTACTCGACGTGCATCAAAAGAAACTATTGAACTTCTGTTGAATCTTCTTTATGTATCTATCTACTTTATGCTGTAAGTTTATAATGTAGATTAGGGCTCGACAAATCTCCCGAGCCGACTGAATCGAACCCGAACCGAACTGAACCGAACCCGACGGTTCTTGTCAAATTAAATACCCGAGCGGGTATCTGAATTGAGAACCGACGTGTATGGTTCGGTTCTCGGTTCTAGATCAAGAACCGAAGAACCGAATAAGAACCAAATCTTTTTAATTTTTTTTTTTAATATTGAGTAAATCAAATTATTTTAATTTTAATTTTTCTAAACAAATTAACAATTTAACAATTTCTAAATCCAAAATTTTGGCCCAATAATTTGTTTTATTTCTAATTTTTTTAATTTTTGGCCCAATTATCCATTTTATTGTTTCATTTCTTAGTCCAACAAGAGCCAATTCACTAAATAACACTAAACACCTACACTAAAGTGCATAACGTTGTCTCGACTCTTGCACTCACTAACATTCCAAAATCTATACAATCGTCGGCCGAGACTGTGACCTCCGATCGAAGCTGTGACTTCCGCCGACCGAAACTTTGACCGTAGCGATCATTTGAATAAGGTAGTCTACCAGTCTCTGACATTTCAAAACCATTGAATGTATCATTAGTTGTATTTATATAATGTTGCTATAAATGTTAAAAAATTTAATTATAGTACAGAACCGAACGGAACCGAACCCGAACGGTTCCATAATTATATTTGGACCCGACGGTTCCATTTACTAGATACCCGAAAATTTTGGTTCGGTTCGATTCGGTTCTCCTTAGAACCGAACCGACCCGCGCCCACCCCTAATGTAGATCGCGTTATATGCAATTCTTCATCCTCCTTTCTTCGAAAGCTGCCTTTGCTTTCATTCCAATAATGGATCTCTTCACTCAAGAGCCAGCCATGTGAAGCTAGCACAAATGTTCAAGCCAAACTAAGTGCTTGTTAGGTAGTACTTTATGCATTTATAAGTTGTTAGTAATACAGAAAAAGATGATAAGTGGATAGTAAATTGTGGATTTTATGACGTGTGGATAAAAAATATGTTAGGCCAACAAGAGGCATAGTAATCTAAAGATTAGATATTCTATTAAAATCAATTATGATGGCTGCAAATTGAATAGCTCCACTTGCAAAGGGCTAAATTTTTATTTTTTCTATTTTAATACTTATTTACTTAGAAGTAAATTTAAATTCACTGTTATTACACACCTTAGCAAAAAGAAAAAGCACTTAGATGCTGACCCCAAGGGGATGGTTGGGGGGGGGGGGGACGCTATCACCACTTTATTTTATTTATTATTATTATTTTTAAGGAAAATGACAGTGTACACACGACTTTACACCCCCTTCACATGGAGCGAGGTTTACAAATATTTTAGTACATGTGAGCCCCTCTCCATGTGGGAGGGGGGGTGTAAAGTCATATGTACACCATTGTGTACACACAACACAACCCTATTTTTAATTGTACTGCATATACATAGATTTTGTACAACCAATGGGGGTGGGGGGAAGATACCATCCACATTTTAAAAAAGAATATTTTTTTCTAAAAATTCTGCTGCATGTACATTGGTTTTGTACAACTATGTTGGTTCGACAGATATAAGTAAGTTAATTCTATTTTTACTAACATTATATATTTTTCTATTAAATATAATTCTTGTCTGTATGGATCTTTTCATGCATGATTGTTAAACACAACAAGATAACAGGCAGTGTTCTACGTAGTGCCTAGCATCGCTTGAGCTTGAAGCTCAGGCAAAACGTCCTGCTCCGCGCCTAAGCGCCTTTTTTGTTTTTTCCAATTCGAAAATAGATGAAAAATTCATATGTAAGAAATTATGTTTGACCCATAATAAAATTAAGATACAAGATTTAAAACTTCAAAAATCAGATATTAATTAAATTTTATTTATGAAATAATTTGGATAATTGACACAAAACGTCTCTACCTTTCAAGTTTTTTGTCGAGAACATTCCTACATTTCATTTTTTTGGCATTTTTGCACCTACCTTCCATATTTTTTTGCACAGAAGGTCATTTTGACGATTTTACCCTCCATTGAAATGAAACAAAAAGAAAAGGAAAGGAAAAATAAAGAATTAATTGCAATCATAGTCCAAATTTTTTTAAAAAATTATAAATTAGTCATGAGGAAACTTGAATGTACAGGGAAATAACCAAGAAATGGTGAAATTTTTTAATAATAACCAATGGAAATGAAAAAATTTGAAGATTACGTGATTTTTGCCTCAAGCCAAAATAAAAATTGAGATTTATGCTTACCCATTTTTGAAGATTTTCAGTTTCATTGGCTATGGTTCAAAAATTTCTCAATTTCTTGATTATTTTTCTGTGCATTCAAGTTTCCTTTTTTTTTTTTGGACAATTTTAAGATTTTTCAATTCACAATAAATTGTGACCGGTTTGTAATTTTTTTGAAAATTTGGGAATATTATTGCAATCAGTTTTTTATTTTTTTTATTTTTGTTTTATTTGAATGAAGGGTAAAATCGTCAAAAACAAATGAAAAGGACCTTCTGCGCAAAGAAATGTAAAAGGTAAGGACGAAAATGTCAAAAATGAAAGATTGAAACGTTTTCCATAATAAACTTGAAAGGTCACATATTTGGTCACATACTATCAAATTAATTGGTCACAAATTATTTCTGATCACAATTTAAAAAATTTATATTTTACAATTTATTTGTTGATTACAAATCATAATTTTATAAGTTACAATTTATTTCATGATCACAAATTAAATTAACTGGTCACAAGTTATTCCTCAATCACAATTTAATAAATTGTGAGTCACAACCACAATTTATAAGTTACATATTATTTATTGATCACAATTAATCAAATAGTAGGTCACAAACATGAAAATAGTTATTCATATTTCACAAACGCCCCACCTTAATCCAACCAACGACACCAATATATGGTTACAAATTAACCAACTAATTGGTTACAACACTCTTCATCCCACTCAACCCCAACCATAATATTTGGTCACAAATTAACCAATAGTTAGTCGCAAACCTCCCAAATAGTTGGTCACAAACACTCTTATACCACAATTCTACTTCAATTGCCGCCACCGTGCCTGCACCACCACCATTTCCAAACCACCAAAAGGCCACCCTATGTTGTCTTGTCTTCGGCCGAACAAATCGACTCACCGCGACACCGTCAACCACCATAATTTCACCACCACCTCTCCAAATCAACAAACAAACCACCAATAGCCTCCAACCAAAATCAAACCGGACCACAACATATCGTCTCCTTCACACAACTGTCGTCTTTTCCGATCTCTCACCTCTCACGGCCATCGCCACCTCCGCCCACATCAACCTATAGAAACCACCAACTGTGGTTGACATCTCCTCAACCACAACCACAACTACAACTACCTCGCATACCAGTAGCATGACATTGAACTTCAAAAACTAAATCTCTCCATTAACAAATAAGTAAATTTTCAGATAAGCATCCCAATTTGCAATACGAAGATTGGAGCTAGGTTGAATGATGTCGAGATTATCGCTGGGTCGAGCAATGTCACTATTGATGATGTGTGCAACAAAGAGGTAAAGCAACACGCACTAGGTGGAGATTGCAATTTCATTGCGTGCATTAGGTATCGCACCGCTCGTAGTAGCAATGGCAATCCATTGTGCACAACAATGCATCGTCGAACCGACGACGAAAGGAAAGGAGGGAGGAGAGAAGAGATGCTAAAACATTAGGTTTAAAATTGGATGGGGTGAGGGGTGGTTTGTAGATATATTTAATTTTATAATATTGTTGATGTTAAAGAATAATAGTATTAAAAAGAATGGATTATTAAATAACTAATTATAATCTGAATTTTGATGTATGAAACTTAAAATTTGATTTATGAAATTTAAATTTTAAAAACAGATCTATGTGTAATTTCCACTTTTCCCCCCACTTATGTCATCCTTAAGCCCACTTTATTATTGTTGTTGTTTTCCCTTTTTCAAAAGTCTTTTACTTGATTATAGTTTATTAATTTTTTTAATTTTTAGAAAAACTTTTCATTTGACTTTAATTTCAAGTTCTTATAAGATTTTATCTATACAAAACTTAAAAATGATTTTATCTAATAAAGAGTTAAATAAGATTTAAGATACGTTGTTATCCACATTAAATAATTATGATTTTGAGACTCATTATTT